CTTATCCGGGCTAACGAGGTACAACATTTTATCCCAGGTCATGAATGTCACTGCCAGCCAATGTGCATTACAGGCTTTCACTATCCCCTTCAACAGTATTATGATCATAATAAATTCAGTTGTCATGGCACTGTTCAAAACGGGCAGCTCGACCTGACGACAGTCCTGCACGTCAACAATACTCCATATGTCATATTTATTATCTCTTCCACCATCAACTGTCAGCTGACCTCTGCAGGGGCTGTAAATATGTGATTTCAAACAACCACTAAGGTTAGAGGCCCACGTCTCCTCACAGTGTCATGACTATAATCTAGATCGTACACAATGATTCAGAGAAGCCTCATGTGTCATGCGGGTAACTCACAGGATGTGTTAAATGTTGCCCACTTCCTGGAGAAGACCTAAGGTGCTATGGAAACCATAACTGACACCAGTTAGAAGGAGTAAACATCACTCCAACATGGCAAGTGACTCTTGACACAGCTGTTGATCCTTTGGTCATTTTACTGCCTGTCATTTCTAGGTCAGTGCTTAGATATTTATTAAAGATATGTGCTGCTCTACTAAAAAAAAATTATAATAACAATCAGCTTTGATCACTAGAAGTTTATCTCCTTTTCACATAAGCCCCCAAAAAACACAGAAACATAAATTTTAAACGTGTAGTACACAGAATTATTTATTATTATAAAATTCAAATTACTGGAAGACCACCAGCTCATCTTGACTTGGCTATTCTTGCCAGGAACTGGTGACATTCCACAAACTACATATTTGTATCACCACATTTAATCCAAAGAAATACATCTTGCTATGAAGGAATGAATGACCTTTATTAGATACATAGGACAGCTCAAGCTGGACAGAAAAAGGGGAGAGAGAGAGGGGGCAATCACACACAGCAAAGGGCAAAGGTCGGAATCGAACCCATGGCTGCCGCAGCAAGACGCAGCCCTGCTACAAGGGGTGCCCAGCTACCAGTGTTGCCTCACTGCTACATGTTTTAATCAGACTGTAAATTTCCGTTTGAAAATGCAACCATTCGCTTTGTGTCAGTGTCTGGCCACGCCTTTAGAGAAGAGTTTCAGACCATTTTAATCATGTGGGATTAGATCAGATGGTATCTTCCACTGACAGGACAGCAACCTACCTGATAACCCTCAGTCTTCTTCTGGCACCACTTTAGCAAAGCATTTCTCTTGGAGCCTCCATACTCTCTGGCCAGTGCTGACAGCGGGTCCTTTCTCTCCTCTCTGTAATTACACACAAGGAGACACATGTAAGCAAACATTTTACTGTGATTTACTGTCAGCAAAGGCAAACAGATTATATGGCAAACATGTTTGCTTGGTGAGCTAGGAAAGCTGTTATGGGCTGTATGTTTTGTAAGGGGACCAATGACAAGTATAGTCATACTAGTACAGTATGAAGTGATGTCAGACACAGAATGGAAATAGACACTTTAAACAGGCAGAGCACGTGAGCACATTTGCTGCGTTATAGGCAATTAACCTAACCTACTTCTACCAATCAGTATAAAATAATATTAAGTCAGTGCCCCAGGAGGTGGTACCTTAGGCGACTGCGTGCTGTGGGGGTGACGGAGGCGGTGGGGGAGGAGGACAAAGAGAGCGGGGAGGAGGCAGCACTCATAGCCATCAGGGAGGATGAGGAGGCCCCATCTGAAGCCGACATGTCCCTCTTTATCTCCTCACTGCTCCGGCGAGACACTGCTGAGGACAGGGGAGACCATTATAGACCTGATATTTCAAACTCAACTGAGACTGAGTCGATTTATAACAAGGTTATAACAACTTCCCTAGCATCTCTAACCTGAGATTGTCTTGGTGGAGTCCATGTTGGAGACCCTCTGGAGGGCAGACGGAGGTCGGCTAGCTGAGGATCCCCTGAGTAGATGCTCAGCTGTGGATACATCACAGTATTTACATC